TTTCTTTATGAAAACAATTTTGTAATTTAACGTTTAGTGTTGTTTTCGTGAAAATTTTGGCCGTACATGTAATATTATATATATATTTATTTAATAATTTATGAACATTTTGAAATTTATTATAAACTTTCATTATCAAAAAATCAAAATTGAATTCTTCTTTCTTTATGAAAACAATTTTGTAATTTAACGTTTAGTAATCTTTTATTAAAATTCTTTTATACTAGTTTGAGATGTAGAGTTCGAGTTCTCTTCTTAACATTTAAAGAAAAATAAATTCTTTATAATAAAAATAATTATGAATTAAATATCTAATTAGTTGTAACTATATGAGACATTTATTTTAATTTAAAATTTACTAATTTAGGGTAAAAATAAAAAAAAACATTGTTAGAAAAAGATTTAACAGCAACTGTCCTGGACTTTGTAACTTCATTGGTTTTTACCCTTAATAAAATTTGATGAATACAATGTTATACTTATAATATTATATAAAATTATAAATTTATTATCATAATATGGTAATAAATGACTAAATATGCATTAATGTGCATGTAAAATTGAAATAATTAATTAATTACTAATTATAAACATAATATTAATATAGGCATTCATTTTCGATTTTTATATATAGAAATTAGTAGATAAATTTAGTTAACAAATTTTTTAATAAAAATAATATAACTACTATATCATTTATTATTTATAATTATAATATATTATTATATAATCAATTCTTTTCTTTACAATATTCTTGCCTTGCCTAGGATGGTAAGTATGTAATTATTTAATTTTATACTATTGTTTTTGTTGTTTTCATTGAAGAGGTAAGCGGTCAAAGCGAGTCCACGTGCCCACAGGGAATTCGCGGGCCCCCGTCCCCACCACCATTGAAACCCTTTTCTTCTGTTATGTCATCCTTATATGCTGCTTTAATTCACCTTTGGCATGCTTTCCTGTGGGGAAGGGAAGCTTTGGCATTTCTGAGATGACCACTGTCCGTCCACGACTGAATAGTTTCTAGAGACAAGAGGCTGCCGGAGCTAAATAGGAATTCTGATCATGGAGAACAACACTCGAGCCACTTCCTCTAGAACTGACAGGAAACTGGTGGAGAGAAATAGAAGAAATCAAATGAAAGCCCTCTACTCCAAGCTCAATTCCCTCGTTCCCCACCAAAACTCTAGGGTTCTTTTCTTTCATTCCTTCCCCTCTTTTTTTTTTTCTGAGACATAAAAGATGTGATCTTGTTCTCTTCTCATTATGTAGAGTTTTGTACTTTTTGCAGGAACCAATGTCGCTTCCAGATCAGCTAGATGAAGCTACAAATTACATCAAGAAGTTGCAGACAAACTTGGAGAGAATGAAGGAGAGGAAAGATAGTTTGATGGGAATGGTGAGACGGAGAAATGCTAGCAGAAGCAGTGGGATAAAATGTCCTGAAATTAAGATTCAAGAAATGGATTCTGCTTTGGAGGTTGTTTTGATAACTGGGCTGGATGGACAGTTTATTTTCAATGAGACTATTCGTATTCTCCATGAAGAAGGAGCTGACATTGTGAATGCAAGCTTCTCTGTGGTGAATGATATAATCTTTCACACAATACATTGCAAAGTAAGAATTAGAGCATCTTAATTTTCAGTATCATCATCAGTTTCTATATGTTTGGTACTAGAGAAAATCTTTATAGGAAAATTAATGTTAATTAGAGGTATTAATTTTGGGGTTAAAATTGTGTAGGTTGGGGATTCTGCACCAGGTTTTGGAGCTGCCAGGATATCTGAGAGGCTTAACAAGTTTCTCTATGATGCTTAATTTGATTAAGTAAAATGCTTCATGAATCTGTATATCACCCAGACGGTTTGAATTGATGTTGTAAGTTTTTCTCTTTTGTTGTTTGGTACATTAAGTGTTTAATTAGCCATTAAATAATACAGAGGGTTTCCTCATAAGCTTTTGAATTAGACATAATAAATCAAAATTTTATGGTTAATATGTATCAATTCAACTAAATTAAACTCTTGTCGGTGTGTTGTAAATTTCTTTAGATAAAAGTTAAAACTATAATATTGTCTCTCACTTTTACATTTTTATAGTTAATATATACCAACTTGAATATACTAACTTACTAGTATGTGTTGTAAGTTTCTCTACTTAAAACTACATTATCTCTCTCTTACATGATCTTCATAAATATTAGATCTATGTTTAATTTTCTTTATTCATTTTGATTAATTTTGTTCATAAAAATGTAGAAGAAATTAGAGATATATATTATTTATTATTCTGACTTAGATTATCAAAGAAATGAAGGGAAAATTTCCATTGAAGAAAAATATGAAACCCTTCAAACAAGATAATGTTAAAGTAGTAAATTAACTAGCTTTCATCGGTGTAAGATACTGAGAAACTCAGTGTGTGTGGTGATGACTAATGCATGGAATTGGATTTGCAACATTGGATATCACTTAGAAAAAGCTGATTCATTTTTTTTGTAGAGTCAGCTGAAAAATAATTTTTTATTAGAGGAAGAATCCTAGGAAGTTAAGGAGGTGGAGGCTGGAGACTTGAAACAGTTGTCAATTTGTGTTCATATCTTTCCTACCTAATTGTTTGTACATATAATATTCGTCACTAAACTTACGAGGAAACATGATCTGTCATTGTAGTTCAGTTGTTCACATCAAACTGAAGATTTGGTAAAAAATATGTTTTCATTTCCACTCAGGTTTTATATTGTAGTTGTACCTGCCCCCTTTTCTACCAAATCCCCCATGTTTAAAAGAAGATTATATAAAATAATACCGATGTGGAAATATATTTGATTTCTTTGTTGGATGATGTAAGAAAAGATGTGTTGGTTTTGTTGTTTTGAGTTTTTGCTGATTTAATTAACACAAGAACAAGAAACAAACAACCTTATCTGTAGAAGACTGTGGTCTAATAATTCTTAAAAGACAACAAAATACATAAACTAAAGATATTTTAGATGTTTGCCCTTCTATTTATTCTACAAGGGAAATGACATAGAGCTAGGTATATACTAGTGTGAAGACCATAATTAATGAAGTATTTCTTTATAAATTCTTAATTTTGAATGACAAATGGCTAAAAAAAAAAACTTAGATGACCTAGTTTTGATAGAAACAACTCACACAATTGTTTTTTTATTTGTTCGTAATCTAGATTGATTCTTTTTACTTTATGAGATTTGCGAATCAATATGCTTTTAGTCTAAATTTTATTGTAAAAAACTATAGTGTGTAAATTAATTCCTAACTCTAATTGAATTGAAGCTAATTACTTAATTAGTTTGATAATAATTTTCTTATAGTAGAAATAAGATATTTTAAATTCAAGTCACATAACATTCGAATGAAATAGATTAAAGACTTGGAGATTGTTGATTTTTATTGCGTAACACAAGATTTTAAAAAAAATTGAAAAAAAAAATTCTAATTGAATTGAAGAAGTCATTCGGTCCATGTCATATAAAATGACTTAAAATACCACCTTATTGTTATTTTTATTCTAAAGAAAGAAAGAAAGAAAAAAACAAATGTTACATTTATAAAATAATATATTTTTCTCATAACCTTTTTTGCTAATCAAAATTTAGGGCAACAGCACAAGAAAAGTGTGTAATCAACAAAGCCCATTAGTCGACGACCGAAAAAAGAAAAGCCCATTTGTTTTCATAAGAAAAACAAAGCCCACAGTTTGAAAGAAAGTGGACTTCTTCGTTAAGACCCAACAGAAAGCAAGGCCCAAAAGAGAGGACAGGCCGTAGAAAGAACCCAGATTCTGATTTCCTGGGGCGAGGCATAATTAAGATTGGAAATGGGCCGAACTGATTTCCTTGATCCAATAAATATTTATATTGAAGCGGCTAAAGTTTCTAGGGTTTCTGCCTTCCTTCCCAAACCAGAATTACTCTCACTCACTCAACACTGCGTCAAAGATCCGGTGACAATGGTTGGCGGCTTTGAAGTCGGTGCAGTTCCGTTCAATCCCGACGGTTGGGGTCCGCCGGAGTCATCCACGGCCACAACTACTCTCCCCATCAACGCCCCTTTTGCTCCCTTCTCCCGGTCTGAAAAGATTGGCCGCATCGCCGACTGGACCCGTAACTTCTCTTCCGCCGCCGCCAACCCGTCCAACCGCCCCTCCTCTGGGAAAGTGGGTGCCAATTCCGATGCTCCCTTCGACTTCTCCTCGGACCTCGACGCTTTCCCCCTTGCCAACGCCGATGACGACTCTTCCTTCCGGCTCGTTGATGCCAAGCCCCCTCCTCGCCCCAAGTTTGGCCCTAAATGGCGCTTCAATCAGCACCGTCCGCAGCTTCCACAGCGTCGCGATGAGGAGGTGGAGGCCCGGAGGAGAGAGGCTGAGAAAGAAAGAGCTCGCCGGGATCGTCTCTACAATCTCAACCGATCAAACCAGAACCAGGCCCGTCGCGAGGCTGCCGTTTTCAAGTCCTCTGTCGACATCCAGCCCGAGTGGAACATGCTCGACCAAATTCCCTTTTCCACCTTCTCCAAGTTGTCGTTCTCGGTCCCTGAGCCCGAAGATTTACTTATGTGCGGTGGGCTTGAATACTACGATCGCTCCTTCGATCGCCTCACCCCGAAGAATGAGCGGAGGCTCGAGAGGTTTAAGAACAGGAACTTCTTTAAAGTCACCACCACTGATGATCCGGTGATCAGGAGATTGGCAAACGAGGATAAAGCCACTGTTTTTGCTACCGATACCATTCTTGCAACCTTAATGTGCGCCCCCAGGTCAGTTTACTCGTGGGATATTGTGATTCAGCGAGTTGGGAACAAGTTGTTCTTTGATAAGAGAGATGGGTCGCAGCTGGATTTGCTGTCTGTGCACGAGACCTCACAGGAGCCGTTGCCAGAGGCTAAAGATGATATTAACTCTGCATATTCCTTGAGCGTGGAGGCAGCATATATAAACCAGAATTTCTCTCAGCAGGTTTTGGTGAGGGATGGGAATAAGCTAACCTTTGATGAGCCAAACCCGTTTGCAAATGAGGGAGATGAGGTGGCGTCTGTGGCTTATAGGTATAGAAGGTGGAAGCTTGATGATGATATGTATCTTGTTGCACGGTGTGAGGTGCAGAGTGTGGTTGAGATTAACAAGCAGAGGTCGTTCCTTACTTTGAATGCTCTTAATGAGTTTGATCCAAAATATTCAGGTGTTGATTGGAGGCAGAAATTGGAGACGCAGAGAGGTGCAGTTTTGGCCACTGAATTGAAGAACAATGCCAATAAGTTGGCTAAGTGGACTGCTCAAGCACTGTTAGCCAGTGCAGATACGATGAAATTGGGTTATGTTTCAAGGGTGCATCCTAGGGATCATTTTAACCATGTAGTATTGGCTGTTGTTGGGTATAAGCCAAAAGATTTTGCAGCACAGATTAATCTCAACACCTCCAATATGTGGGGAATTATCAAGTCTATTGTGGATTTGTGTATGAAGTTGAATGAGGGGAAGTATGTTCTTGTAAAGGATCCATCTAAGCCTCAAGTGAGAATTTATGAAGTTCCTCCAGATGCATTTGAGAATGATTATGTTGAGGAACCTTTGCCAGAGGAGGAGCAGGTTCAACCACCTGCTGAGGATGCTGAAGGTGGGGAGGCTAATGGTGTTGCGAATGATGTGGATGATAAAGAACTTGAGGCTCAAACTTAAGGTAATTGGTCATAGTCAATGGCTGTTTCCTAGAGTATTGTTGGCATTATGCATTCTGATTTATCCTAAGAGTATCTTATATGTGTAGGAGGCCTTTTAATATTCATTTGTCTGTGAATGCGCTTGCTTTATTATGTGCTGATATCATGTTACTAGTCCTGCTAATTCAAATGCTTTTTAATTAATTTGGTTTATCAAATAGTTAAATTTGTCTTTGTTTAGATTGTATTTTGTAAATTGTAACGGACTTTTTATCTATTATTTATTTATTTTTAGTTTGCTTAATAGTTTTGTGTATTTATGGACTATTTTCTCTAGCATGTGACTGGAGCATATGGAGTGAGGTACAATAGGATCAGCAAGACTGACAATATCTGTTCCTTTAATTTTTTTTTTTGTTATAAACTGAGGATGCTTAAATACCCATAGATGAAAGGATAGCAGCATAGAACATAGAGAGTGAGATTTCAGTTTTTGAAACACATAACAACATGGGGTGTTCTATGTGGTCAACAGTTGAGCATGGCATATGAGGTTGGATTTTTTGTTGAAAGAATAAATTGTTTAAATTCATAATAGGAATGCGATGGTAATTTCTGGGGTATTCCTTTGTCTAAGTCCATAATTTTGTGTCCGGGAATCATAAAAGTGGTAAGCAAATATGAATCTGCACATAGCCCAGCTGGGCAAAATGACCTTTGGAATCTTTTTTGCCTACAGGAGTATTGTGCTAAACCTGTAATTCTATTTTTTTTTTTTCAAATGGTTATGACTTATAAGTACCGTATCTATCAGCCATGTAGTTGTGTAGATCAGATGAGACTTAAATTTTTTAGGATTTATATAAACAAAGTAGCATTCTTCTTTTAAGTCAATTTCTCATATTATTAGATATTCATCAGAAGTGTTTAATGTGCTCAATCTCTTTCTCAAAGCACAATGTTGTGAAAAGTAAAGCCAGAATAATCATAAGGTCATTCTAAAAGACATTGAACATGGATGAACACAATATTATCAAATGGAATAAGACCTGCAAGCTGTATGTTTCATTAATGAATTCTGAACAGCTTTCTAATTATTGGATCAGTTTAGTGTTCCTCGGGCATTTCCTACTTTACTATATATAATCTTATTTTGCCTATTAATTTTTTGGATCTTTGGACCTCCTTTCATTGTCCACATCTTCATTGTTGATCTAGTATTGTGATGTTGAATAATGTGCTTGATATTACCTCGACGCAACCTACTGTGGATTGCATGTCTCTGAATCTACTACTGACATTCTAGTATTCATTGTTACAGCATTGATGGAGCCGGCAGAACCAAAATTTTGCTAGTTGCAGAGTAATGTACGTGTCTGAGGCTGTTGTTCACAACGTATGGGTTTGAAGAGCACTATTTATCAGTATTTTTGATTGAGCAGGAGTTTTCTGAGAGCTAGAGCTTTGGTTGTCAAACACACAATTGACATGTGGATTGTTTACATTTTCATGTCACCTAGGAGTGTCATCTTAATTTTTGTTACTGGGGTTTTCTTATTATTTTCTTCGTAAACTTAAACCTAGATTTAGCTTTTGAGATGTGATTTTTTTTTTTTCTTTCCTTCACATTTGTTCACAGTGGAATTCTTTAATTCGCAGGCAGGGACACTAGCTATTTGTAAAATTCCCCATTCCTTGAATTATGAATTCCGTGGTGACAAAATAAAGCAAAAGTCACATTCATTTTTGGTTAGATTAAAGAAAAAAAGGAGGTTAAATGCTAATTTTAGTCCCTCAACTTTATAGTGTTGCACAATTTGTCTCTTAACTAGTTTTTGCATTTTTTTGATCCTTCAACTCTAAAAAGGATACAATTTTGATCCCTTCATTAGTTAGAGCCGTTAAGTCGGTTCATGTCATTTTTCTTAATTTTTGTAATGACATGTCAATGACAGATGGACAATATCAAATTGTCAAGTCAAATTCAATTATCTTTTTTAATTCTTTTTAATTATTTAAATATAAAATTATTAAAATACCCTTAATTTATTTTGCTTACCATCATTCTTTTCTGCCCTTTGTCTCTTTGTTCTCCCCACTACCACCACTGTTTTCAACCATTGTTCCTCACTCTTCATCAATGTTTCTCTTCTTCCCTCCTCTTCATCCCCTTGCTAACCAAATTTGGGTTTGCCACGTTCGTTGCAAACCCAATTGATTTGGGTTCGTGAGGAATCCAGCAATTAAAATTCATGGTAAACCCAAGAAAGGTTCTTATGAACCCATTAAAGGGTTATCAATGGTTGTTTTTGCAAATTAGTAGAAACATGACCATTGCTTTCTAATTGGCTGTTTTTGTGTTAATTGCTACTTCGCTAATCTTATTGATTAGTGTAAGTTGGGTAACAAAAATCTTGTATTTTCAAGTACATCATTATGGATTGGATTAGTTTTTGCAGTGGTTATCCTTAATTCTCTTATTTCTTGAATCTATACATTTCCAAATCCAAAGGGGACCCCACTTGTGAATTTCTTGGATTGTGAAACACATTGAAATTCAACACAATATCAATGAATCCCCAAAAAGATAAATAGAACTTGAATGATTGGCAAAGGGTAGGGAAGAAGTCAGTGGTTGGAGAAAGGATAGGGAGGGGAAGATAGACAATGGTAGAGGAGAAGGGAAGAAGAATAGTGAGAGAGAAGGATAACCACAAAGATGAAAGTGGGGGTAAAGTTGTATTTTTGTCTTTTAATTTGCAAATTGTTTAATGTTGTGGAATCTAACTTGGTATTTCTATATAATGTGTTATTACATGTCATAAAAAATTTGTCATTCTAGTATATTTTAATAGCCAAGTGTGACTGAACTAACGAAATATCAAAATTGTGCAGTTTCTAGAGTTGAAGGATCAAAAAAGTGCAAAAAATAGTTGAGGAATGAAAATTTTGCAACATTATAAAGTTGAGGGACCAAATTAGCATTTAACCAAAAAAATGGTCATTTGAGATAATGAGCCAGCATTAGACGCCCAGGGAACATCAAATGCCCCTTTGATGGTTGGCCTGTAATCTTTTTTCTGGAAATGGGTGGGGCCCATGTTCCATGCTAAATCCTATCATTGGGCCGGACTACCTGAGCTCAAGCCGCAGCAGCATGTCTAGCGGGCGTGAACACCAAGGCTCAAGCCCATAATAATAGCCAATACACAACAGAAAGAAACTCCTGCGTTGGGTGTCATCATGACTGAAGTCTTGAATCCAATATCTTTTGTTTTAGAGAAAGGAGATGATTACTACTAGTTTGGCGCTAGAGTTGCCTGTGTTTTGCATTTTGTCTTTTATTACCACATCTTTCTTTGCATAAAACATCAGAATCAGTGTATGAATTAAGAATTCTGAAAGAGGCAGTAGACATTGCTTTTGTTGAAAAAAATAAAAATATCGAGGTGGCTATGGTTGCAACTCATGATCAAATCTCAGATCAAAGCTCTTCTTACCCTGCAGTTGACCTCTTGGAAGTAATAAGTTACTAACAAGAAACTGTATCAATTTCCAAAAACTCATCACGTTCTACCTTTGTACACAGAAATTAAGATTCATTCACTACTACCAAGGCTTCGACACCAACCAACCATTCTTTCGTCTTCACAGATCTTGGAGTGATTCACCCGCTTGTCTTAATGCAGACCCAAATCCTTTGACTACTAGTACATGCTATAGGGTAAAACTACGACCCTTTTGGTACTGTCATCACTATACCAATTTTGGGATCCGATCCTGCAACACTTTCAACTCCCAATTCATCTCTTTGAAGTCTGCACAGTCAATTACTACAATAGCATTTCTAGAGTACTCTTCTTCAACAGAAACAGATCGCATGATTAATGAGTAAGTGTACCTTTTGAGGTAATGCCACCTTCCCCGCTCCACTTCCCATCCCGTCCTCCCAAATCTTTATTAAAGTTTTATTTATCATGTCCTTGAAAAAGTCATGTGCAATTATATCCATGGCTCTAGCTAGCCTTTGGTCATCTAATCATGATACAGAGAAAGGACTGAGGTGGGTAGTAATTTAGACTTTAGATCCATCCCACCGACACATTGTGACATTACTGCAAGGCAGTACGTCTCATATTAACTGCATTTTTGCTCAATTCAAAGGGACATATATTAAGACTGTAATCATTACTAAGTGCAATTTGTGCTAATATTACTATGACACTAAACTGTTTTTTGGGTTAATAGTCCCAATTCTAGTCTTTTCTTTTCTCTCATTTGATTAAGCTGCTTTCAATTGACCCATATATTAATATTCATCATCATGTTAAGGATTTAAATAGTTTAATAAAATAATTTTTATATAGTGAAAGTAAAAAATTTTACATTCAAATCTCATATAAATGAAGTAAATTAAAAAAAAAAATTATCTATCATTCTACAACTCAAAATAAAAATATCTCTTTTATGTTAAAGAGTTTCTTTTTTTTCCAAGAGTAATCACTACTGATGTTCTTTACCCAAAAAAAGAAAAAGAAAGAAAGAAAGAAACAGTGAGAAAACTCCCGTTGATACTGATTATATCCAAAAGGGACCATTACCTTATCTCCTTGAAGAACTTGCTCGAAAACCTGACTTTATTTGAGGGCCTTTGGCATTATTGGTTTGTTGTGATTCGGAGCAGAGGGGGGTAAAAAAATTCTTCAATGATACAAATAAAAATGTGACCCATGTTGTCTATGCATCCACCACTTTTTTCCTTTGAAATCACTTCAAAGGATATGCTGCCTGGATATGCTCAGCATTTTAATCCTCCCCTAATTTGCTTTAAATCAAATATAAATCAATTTATTAAAAAAAAAATCATCAACCTGTTGTTATGCCAATATAGATTTACAATTAAGATAATATAATTTATGAATTATTGAATAAGAAATAATTTTCGTATTTTTAAGATATGTTTCGTAGAGTTGCATGTGAAAAAGGTGAGAGGTGAGGTCATGCTATACGCATACGGCATTCCGCGCGGCGGTATTGGTGGCTAATATGAGAGTAATCTATAGGGTACAAGATCATATTAGACAAACATAAAAATAAAATATAATGTCAATTGCTTAACGTTTCTCTGCTTCCAATTTCCAAAAATGGCTTGACTATCACTTCATTGGCACCTGAGATGAGGACATGATGTTGGCTGATGATCCCCAAAGTTTCCTACGCTAAAAACCACAGCCCCAACCGCATTTCTACGCTGAAACTTAGTTCTCAAAAAGACAAAAATTAAGTACCACTACTACACAATACAAGCACAGAATTAATCTCTTGTTTTAGAAATTCATTCAGGTGTATCTCCATGTTAATATTGTTGGGGGATTTTTACCCTCACCAGCGATACCACCTGTTGTGAGGACCAATGGGAGGGCAAACGGATTAAGTCTTTGGAAAATAATTGGTACACTTTCTGGTTTAACTTTCGGTTCAACATTCGATTTAACATTTTTTGATTTAATCATTAAAAATATAATATAAATACAATCAATTCAGTTGATTTTTGTATCTTGTGTGCATAATTGTATCATTATACTTATTTTTTTTTAATTTCAGACTAAAAAATAGTGATTTTTTAATGACTAAACCGAAAAATATTAAATCGAAAGGTGTTGAACCAAAAGATATTGAACCGAATAATGTACCAATTACTGTTCTAAGTCTTTACATATGATTACAAGTGTGTAGACTACTAACAAACATATATAGATTATGAAAATGGAGAAAATTAAGATGTTATTATAATTTCATTGTAAAAGTGAACATATTTGAGAGTCTAAGACCAAACACTATATTTGACATATTTTATAAAAGAAAGGTTTATTTATATATAAAGTTTATATATTATAATTATATAAAATTTTAATAATTTATATTTATTTTTAATAATTAAAATTTATTATAACTTTTTAAATTTATTTTTAATGAATGTAAATAAATTTCAAGTATTAAAAGTAAAATAATAAATTATTAAAATTTTATATAAATTTAATATATAAAACCTAAATGTAAAATTTATATAAAAATAAATTCACACCATGCTTTATAATTATTTTTTAACGTTAGGATGATGTAATTTTTCTCTTTTTCATAGGTAAATTGGGTGGGTTGGATTCAATTTTGCCATCTTGTAAACAAAATAAATTTTTTTGCATATATGTTTAGACTGAGGAAGGTGTTTGGATTGGATTGACTAGTTTATAAATGGCGTGTAGGAATTAAAATTGCAATGAGTGTTCTCCGGGATTGACCGAAGTCAAGGTTATTCTGTTTTGTTTTTTTTTTTAAGTAATTTAAAATTACTAACAACGATGATGTATACAAAAATTTAAGTATTATTTAACATTTCATGCAAAATTTAAAATAAATAACCAAAATGAACTGGAGCAAAATTATTAATATTTACT